CTCAACGAACTTTAAAACAGAACAGAAATAATATAATCTGAACAGAGAAAACAGAGTGAAAAAGTAAAGAAAAAGAAAGGAAGAGTCTCAGAGCCCTGAGGGACTATAATTCAAGATCTAACACTGGTGTCACTGGGTCTGGAGGAGTGGAAAAGAACGGTGGGGCTGAACAAATAATGGCTGAAAATCCCCTAAATCTGGCAAAAAGGCATATAAGCCTACTGGTTCAAGAAGCGGAGTAAACCCTACCAAAGCAAGCCCAAAGAAAATCATACCAAAACTCATCATAGTCAAGTCTGAGAATCAAAAACAAATAAAAAATATTGAAAGCACAAAGAGAGAAACACCCCCTTGTCTATAGGGGACATTTTTTGGAATGATAGCAGATTTCTCAGGATTTCTAAGGAAGCAGCATATTTTTCAAGTGCTGAACAAAAACAATGATCAACCCAGAATTATATATATCCAGTGAAAACATCCTTCAGTAATAAAGGGGAAATTAAGACATTGCCAGATGCAATATGCTCAATTAATATTTGACAAAGGTGGCAGGAGCATACAGTGGAATAAGGACAGCCTCTTTAATAAATGGTGCTGAGAAAATTGGACAGCTACATGCAGAAAAATGAAACTAGACCATCAACTTACACCCTACACAAGAATAAACTCAAAATGGATAAAAGACTTAAATGTGACTCATGAATCCATAAAAATCCTAGAAGAAACTGTAGGCAACAAAATTTCAGACATCATACGCAGCAGAATTTTCACTGATACATCACCTAAGGCAATAGAACAAAGGAGAAAATGAACCTATGGGACTACATCAAACTCAAAAGCTTCTGCACAGCGAAAGATACAATCATCAAAACGGAAAGGCTACCCACTGTATGGGAGAGCATAATTGCCAATGATATATCAGATAAGGGGTTAATTTCCAATATATATAGAGTGTTCATACAACTCCACAAAAGGAAGACAAAGAACCCAATTAAAAAATGGGCAGAGGAACTAAATAGACACCTCTCCAAACAGGACATACAAATGGCTAAGAGACATATGAAGAAATGCTCATCACCACTAATCATCAGAGAGATGCAAATCAAAACAACAATGAGGTATCACCTCACACCTGTCAGAATGGCCGTCATCAACAAATAATCAAACAACAAGTGCTGGCGAGGGTGTGGAGAAAAGGGGACTCTAGTACACTGCTGGTGGGAATGCAGACTGGTGCAGCCACTACGGAAAACAATATGGTGTTACCTCAAAAAATTAAAAATTGAACTTCCATTTGACCCAGTGATCCCACTTCTAGGAATATACCCTAAGCCTGAAACACCAACCAGAAAGAATATATGTACCCCCATGTTTGTAGCAGCACTATTTACAATAGCTAAGATCTGGAAACAGCCCAAGTGTCCATCAGTAGACGAATGGATAAAAAAGCTGTGGTAGCTCTGGCCGGTTTGGCTCAGCGGTTAGAGCGTCGGCCTGCGGTACTGAGAGACCCGGGTTCGGTTCCCGCTAAGGGCGTGTATCTCGGTTGCAGTTTGTCCCTGGCCCTGGTCGGTTATGCAGGTGGCAGCCACTCGATGTGTTCCTTTCACATCGATGTTTCTCTCTCTCTCTCTCTCTCTCTCTCTCTCTCTGTTCCTCTCTCTCCCTCCCACTCTACCTGAACAAAAAATGGAAAAATGTCCTCGGGTGAGGATAAAAAAAAAAAGCTGTGGTACACATACACAATGGAGTACTACGCAGCTGTAAGAAAGACAGACCTCTTATCCTTTGAGACTACATGGAGGGACCTGGAAAGTATCATCCTAAGTGAAACAAGCCAAACAGAGAAAGACAAGTATCATATGATCTCACTTATTTGTGGAATATAATGAACATAACAGTCTGAGGAATGGGGTAGTCCCAGAGACGTGGATGTGGGGTACAGACTGACAATCCCCAGAAGAGGGGATGGTGGGGGAGAGATAAACCACAGAACTTATACGCATGTGTGCATGAACAGTAGACATGAACAACTGGGGACAGGGCAGGGAGGGAGGGGGAGGGGGGAATCATTGGGGAAAAAGGAGAAACATCTGTAACAAAAATTAATGAATAAACTCACACTTCTGATTAAAAAAAAAAATTCATAAGACAAAGGGTTTTAAGCTAGAGGTAGCAAATGGTAAAGAAATATCTAACAAGATGAGGGGTATTTAACAAAGTTTGTTTGCCCCAGCTGGCATGGTTCAGTGGTTGAGTGTCAACCCCTTCCCTAAGATGTCACCGGTTCTATTCCCGGTCAGGGCATATACCCAGACTGTGGGCCTGATCTTCAGAGGGGGGCATGCAAGAGGTGGCCAGTGTTCTCGCTCATCGATATTTCTCTCTCTCTCTCTAAAATCAATAAAGAGAAAAATTATTAAAAAAAAAAAAAGACATTGCCAGATGAAGGTAAATTAAAAGCATTTACTGACAACTGACCTTTAAGAGTGGCTAAAGAAAGTTCTCCAAACAGAAAGGAAATAATAAAAGTAGGAATCTTGGAACATTAGGAAGGAAGAACACTGTAAAGAATAAAAATATGGGTAAGTACATTTCCCTTCTCTTCTTGAGTTTTCTAAATTACACTGGAAACAAAACATAGCTCTCGCTGGTTTGCTCAGTGGTTAGAGCATTGGCCCTCGGACCAATGAGTCACGGGTTCGATTGTGGTCAAGGGCACGTAACTCAGTTGTGGTTCGTCCCTGGCCCTGGTGGGGTTGTATGGGAGGCAACCAGTCGATGTGGTTCTATCACATCGATGTTTTCCTCTCTCTCTCTCTCTCTCTCCCTCCCTCCCACTCTATCTGATAATAAGTAGAAAAATATCTTCGGGTGAGGAATAAAAAAAAACGTATAACACTGTCCAATGTGTTTCTCAACATAGAGACAATCATATCAGAAACGAGGGAGGATAAAGGAACACGAAGAGAAGTGAGGCTTCTACACCACAAACTAGTAAATGTGGACTGCTGTGGGTTTTGTGTACACATAATGCAGCATCTAGAGCAACCACTAAAAGCTATCTATATAAGGAGATACATTAAAAAAATACTCCAGATAAACTGCCCTGGCTGATTTGGCTCAGCAGTTAGAGTGTAGGCCTGCGGACTGCAGAGTCCCGAGTTCGTTCCCGCTAAGGGCATGTATCTTGGTTGCAGTTTGTCCCTGCCCTGGCTGGGGTCATGTGGGTGGCAGCCACTCAATGTGTCTCTCTCACGTTGATGTTTCTCTCTCTCTCTTCACCCCCCCCTCCCTCCCGCTCTATCTGAAAATAAATGCAAAAAAAAAAAAAACATGTCCTTGGGTGAGGATAAAAAAAAGTACTCCAGATAATTCAAAACAGCATTCTAAAAAAGCATTCAAGCCCTGGCCGGTTTGTCTCAGTGGTTAGAGCATCAGCCCTTGGACCAAAGAGTCACAGGTTCGATTGTGGTCAAGGGCACATATCTTGGTTTTGGTTCAGTAGCTGGCCCTGGTCGGTGTCGTGTGGGAGGCAGCCAGTTGATGTGTCTCTCTTGCATCAATCTCTCTCTCTCTCTCTTACTCTATTTAAAGATAAATGAAAAAATATCCTTTGGTGAGAATAAAAATTTTTTAAAATAAAAATAAAAAGTGTTCAAGTAAGGTACTTGAAGGCAGGAGAAAGAAACAAAAATGGAGAACAAAAACTAAAATGGCTGACTTAAGCCCTAAGGTAGCCATAGGGTGGGGCAAAAGTAGGTTTACAGTTGAATGGAAAAATAACACAATTACCAAATAATGATACAAGAACTGTTTTGCATGCTCACAACTGTAAACCTACTTCTGCCACACCCTGTATAATTACATTAAATGGAGACCATCTAAGCACACCAATGGAGACAGAGATTGACATCAGAGCTGACATCAATCAGAATGCCAACTAAAATAAACCGCCAGGAAAATCAGACACTGCATGGTGACAATCCACCGAGACACAGGAATCCTACACGTGTATGCACCAGATGACAGAACTGCAAAATATGTGACACAGAAACAGACAAACTGAAAGGAAGCACTGACAATCCCACCATCAGTTAGAAAGTTCACAACACCACGCTCTCAAGGACAACTGTCAAGAACAACTTGACTGGAAGTCAGAAAGGACAAGAACCAACTATTATGGGCTAAGGCAGGCAGGGTCACCATCCAGGAAGGGCTCCAAAGCTGGGAAGTCCTGTAACAACACGATCACAACCGGTCCCTGTCAGCTGAGCGCATGCGGCAAATAGGGAAACTGTCAGGTCCCGTCTGTGAGAACACCCACTGGGAGAAGATTCCCTTTATAAAACCAGTTTGGGTGGGGAATGGTTTCTGCCTCCTGAAACCACCAACCCTAACGTACGTTTTAAAGAAAGGCAGCCAAAACTTTTCTGCATCAGCTTGCTGCCCTGTCCCTGTGCGCGTGAAGTTAGGACGCTATCATTTGAACAAAAAAACCGCACCTCTCACCTAATCGGATCCCCCAGACCAGGGAGACTGGAGCTGCAAGGGAGGGGAACACGCCAGGGCTCCACTATGGATGGTGACAAATGAGCCCAAGTGTACAGGACCCTCCACGCAGTCTACCACACCTATGGCTTCCACTCAGGAGGGTTCCGATGGCAAGTGTAGGGGCCTTGAATTTAAGGGTAGGAGGGAAAATACAAGTTCACAAATCATCTGGTGGCTGGAATTCACTCATTCCTCTCTATTTATTGGAGGGGTCGAGGTATAGGGTGTGTAAAGGGATTTAAATTCCTCAGGACTGGGGGGGGCGGGGGGAACCCCACCTGAGTGCCACCATGGCAGCAGCAATCACTGTAGGCCTGCTGGGACACAAATTGAGAAGGGTCACATGAAGGTCAAGCCTCCATCTCCTGGCCTCCTGGGCTAATCTCTGCTTCTGGTCTCCCACCTCAGAACCCCAGCAAGTGCAGAGTAGAACAGACGCTGGCAGTAGGCTGCCTGGGTTCTAGTCCTGCTTCTTCCGCTTTCTATTGTGTGACTTCTCTGTGCCTCCATCTCCTCACCTGTAAAGGGAATTACAGTAGCTCCCTCGTGGCACCCGGCGTCAGTGAGATAAACACGGGCATTACCACAGTATCTCAGCTTGTTTCCTGAGCCACTCCACCAGGTGGCTACCAGGATAGACACGGTAAGTCAACTGAAAACAAGTTGGAACAATGCAAAGTTGTTTTTATTTGTTTTTGCTAATGTAAGAACAGAACCATCACAGAGGCTCAGTCTGTAACCCATCCTGCCCAAGACTGTTTTGTGCTGGGATCAAGAACAGACAGGTCTTCCTCCATCTCCTTGAAGCATGAGGACCTCTCCCACAGGGCACCAACATGCACCTGTCTCCTAGGACGTTAGCTGAAGCCTTGCTCCTTCCACACTTTGGCCAGTAGTGTCCCCATGTGAGGTTATAGACTCCAGGTCTATGTGAGGGCGGAGGAAAGCTTCCTTTCACATTTCAAGCAGAGTGGTTGGAGAAAACGTGGAAGTGGGGAACGTGACTCTATGGGCTTCAAGGACTTCTCCCCTGAGCCTGCCCCTCCGAGGTGAAGAAGAATCCATGTCACAACGCCCTTCTCCAGTCTGGCATTCCTCAGGGTGTACAACTCAAGCCTCAGGAAGTCATCCATGGGAAACGCACTAGGATTTACACGAAAGTAGGAGATGCGTTAGTTGTCCCTCTGGTCCCCGCACATACCGAGCCAGCAACTTTCAGGAGCAGCCCTGTCTAGGCTGCACTCCTAAGTCATGACCCTGTTCAGGACCCTCTGCCTGTCCTAAATGATTCCTAAAAGCTTCAGTTGCACACAGTCCTATTCTCAGGTTCTGTGGGTATATTATTATTCTACCTGTAAAGTTATCAACCCCCTAACCCATGGATGCCTCTTTCAGATTTCATATTTTATTCAAATTTACTAAATGCCTGCTGAATTTCAGAAAGCAGTTACCCACCAGCTGATGCAAGAATACAGCGTAATTCTGTGGTCTCACCACTGAGACCAGCTTTGCAGGAGGCAGGGAGGGAGGGTGATGCTTAAGATGCCCCCTGCACTCCTATCACACACACCCCAGACCTGTCTCATCTGAGACTCCAGCATGCTGTGCACCCCTCCTGGCTGCCACTCAGACTGGAAGGTGACACTCCTGAATTGAACGCAGGTGGCCTGGTTTGAATATACACTGCACAGGGGTCAGGACCCTGGCCACAGTTCCGGCCATGGCATGCTGCGGGCCCTCCCTTCCTAGTTACTGAATGGAGTCCCACTGGGTTGCCTGACTTATCGCCGTAGCTGGGAACATTCTAGAGTATGGAAGGGAAGGGAGGCTGGTGTGGACGACACGTTCTAAGCCAAATCTAAAACTACCTTCGCACACAAGTATTGTGAGGAGGGAAGGAGGGACTCCGAGCTCCATCTTCGGCGGCTACTTCTCCAGGAACCTCCACCTCCCAGGCTCAGGCTGGCACCAAGAGCCCTGCGCAGCGGTGCCAGCGCCAGTGATTTCCCCACTTCTAAGCAACAAGGCAAGTCGCATGGATAGAAACAGAAACACTGAAGCATAGCCTTCATAGTCTTGATGCCTAAGCTTCTTGGGACGGCCCGGATGTTCTTAGCTGGTTATCCGGTTCACCTCCAAACACCGGAGAGAGAGATTCGGGGGGTGGGGCTTTCTTCCCCCCGGCTGTGCAAATTTTTCTCATCTCCACTTGAATCAGCAGTTCCTTAGGTACTAGAGGCAAAGCCTCAAGCCCAACTCATAGGACTTATTGACCTGTCCTTGAAGCTACTTCTTTTGCTGTTCATTGGTCTTCTTCAAACAGGGCCCACAGGCTTTCTGCATACAGGAACTGCACAGACCATGATAAAAAAAAGAAAGGGCCAACTTTCATCTCCTAGCAACTGCTGTTCTCCACATGTGCAGTGGCAAAAGGGACTGAGATGACAGCCCAGCTCTCTCTGCCCTCTCATGGGTCTGAAGGTAGGAATTTCCGACTCAGCAGCTACTGATGTGGTTAAGAGGGAGCTGCACAGCGAGCACTCTCCCTGCTACTCAAGGAAGGCAGCAGCAATGTCCAAACCAAGCCCTTTTAATACTGACCAGCCTGCCAGTGGGCCAGGATGACCCTGGTCATCAGGAAAGGGTTCTCCATCTGAACCCCTACAGCCCTGGACCACGTGGACGTCTCCTCCAAACTTGGCATGGGGCAGCACAGACTTCCAAAAGGAGCTCCTTTATGAAATGCAGCGAGTGGTCCAACACTGCAACTTGGGGCAAGTCACAGCTAGTGATTCGTGAACAGCCAGACCTGCTGCGGAGCCTGTGGATTCTGGGCACCAGACCTGTAGATGCTGGAGGACGATGCTTCCCCCTTGCTGGCACCATAGCACTTAGCTTAACAGTTTCACAGGACCCAGAGGCCCAACCCCGAAGACAACTGGCAGAGAGGCAAAAATGAGTGTCTTAAAGAGGTCTTCAGACACGTGGACAGCTCAGCAGGACAGCATACATGTCCAGGGCTCACTGCAGCAGCCATCACCAACCTGGGAAAGGAGAACCGTCACGTGGCGTCTTCAGGGAGCTGGAGGCAGGCGCTATGGCAGGAGAAGTAGTGAACAAGGGTCAGAACTTTGCCAGGTTAACACATCTGGATCCTCTGGCCCCTCATCCCACTCCTGAGAGTTTATGCCAAAGTGATTCTCAAGTGTCCAAGGATGTGTTCTACCAGCAGCCAATGTTTCACAGAACATGGACGCTGCTCTTAGAGACCCCCCACCACTTTCTAGGGCCAGTGTGACTACTCTGTGAGCCTCCTTTTCCTCATCTGAACAATGACAGCACCTACTCTCCAGGTGGCTCTGAGGTTCAACGCGACAATCCGCACCAAGCACTGAGAATAAAACACCCAACTATAAAGGTGAGCTATTATTACATGAGGACAGGAAAAATGCAGGAAAAGGAACCAGGCAAATGTTAATAAGGGTGCACTGTTGAAGGGAAGTTTCCACACCTGTTCTGACTAGTCCTTTTTTAGGTCTATCATGTTTCAGGGGTTGGGAGGATGCCCTGGGTTGTGGAGCCCTGCAGCTCAAGAAGACTGAAGCAAGGCTGAGAGAGCTGGCCTTTCCCAGCTCTCTGGGAAGGGGAGGACCGAGGGCACAGGAGAGGAATGAAGAGGGTCTGACAATCAGATGGAAAGGATGCCCGCCCACGTGCTCGCCCTGCCCAGAGGCAGGCTGTGCACAAATGCTTACTCTGTCTGGTTAGGAATACACCTGACAATGTGCCCACTCCCAGGGGCTGCCACAAGCTCAGTGTGGCCAGAGAAGTGTGTCCCGGGAAGAGGAAACCTGGTGACCAGAGGCAAGGATGCATTCTTAGGACTCTACCGCAGGCACAGCAGGCTGTCCCTACATCGCACTTCAGCTTCTCGGCTGTGAGGACACAACAGTCCAGCTCCGTGAAGGAAACACGTGGCAAATGTCCATCAGTGTTAGAAACAGAACAGACGATTCATGCTCATCCAGACCTTAGAAGTCTACCGGTGCTCACAACTTCTGCTCTTTTTAAATGCATTCTATCTATGTAACCCCAAAATAGAAAGGGGTTAACACCATTATCACACGTAAAAAGGTTAATAATTCCTTGATGTTGGCAATTATCCACTCAGCATTGAAATTTCCAAATGTCTTATAAATGTCATAAATGAGTGGTTCATTTCTCAACCTTTAAAAATTCACCTTCCAGCCTGGCCAGTGTGGCTGCGTGGACTGAGCATCATCTCGTGGACTGAGCATCATCTCGTGGACTGAGAGGTCCCTACTCGATTTTCAGTCAAGGCACATGCCCGGGTTGCGGGCTTGATCCCCAGGAGGGGGCATGCAGGAGGCAGCCGATAGATGTATCTCTCTCACATTGATGTTTCTATGTCTTTCTCCCTTCCTCTCTCACTAAAATAAAAATAACATATTAAAAAATATTCATCTTCCAAAGCCTGAGGAGATTTGAGACAGCTCCTGCTAATCCCACCATAACCACTACCACCTCACTACACTAGATGAGAAAACCAAAGCCCAGAGCGGTTGGGTGATCTGCCCAGGATCACACAGCTTGCTGAAGCCAGACAGCCTGACCACAGCCATGCTTTCCATGGTGTCACACTGTCTGGCAGTCTGAACACTACAAGGTAACTTTCAGAAACTTTTAAGTCAGCAAGTCTGAATCTAATAATACCTCCTTTGTCCATAAGAAAAGAATCACCACTAAAACCCTCCTAGTAATTATACACTCATTCTGCCAGATAAAAACTAAGCTATTGAGTTAATTCCCTCAGGTAGAAGTCAGATGTTATCTTTACTCTGTGCTTCCATTTAGCCAGGAAGAGGATTCCCAATGACCTCTAATCTTTTCTCAACACTAACTGGCGCCCCCAGGCCACAGTAACCCAAAGGACCCCCTCACTGAGAGGAGGACACCACGCAGTGGGGAGCTGGTTCTAGTTGTGCCTCAAGGTGGTATCAGCAGAGGTTAGAACTGCCTGAAAATAGGCCTGATGGCTTAGAGGTCACTTCCATCACACCGTCTAGTAACTGGTCATTTCTGTGATATATGTTTTAGAATATGAGAAGAACATAAAATATTTCCCATCTCATTCTATAAGGATAGAATGATCTCCTCTTTACAACTGGACAAGAATAGCACACAAACAAAAAAGCAGGGGTGACCAAAAGAAAACTACAGGCCAATCTTACTAATAAACACAGAGGCCAAAATCCTACGTAAAATAAAAGCAAATCAGAAGAGTGCATGTCTTCTGAAACACTTGGTCACTTTCTTTCCATTTTGTTTTGTTCCTTTTTGATAGGGTCTTCTTTCCTATATGTGCAAAATAAAAATAAATTTGGGCATGTGCAAAAAAAGAGAATGGGTCATACTGGACAAGTCCTGCACCTGAAACTTAGTTCGATATTAGAAAATCTATTAGAATAATTTATCACTTTAACTAATTACAAGAATTATTTATGTTCATTTATCTCACTTGATTCCAAGAGGGCAATGGACTAAATTCAAAACCCATTATTTATCAAGAGAAAGGAAAAGGATAAAGATGATAATATTAGCAAACTAGAAACACAACTGATATTTCCTTAACTTGGGATCTGCATCACCAAACAATAATATAAGTCAGTGCAGGAACAGACAGGTCAAGGGTACAAAATGGGCCCACGTGTGCACAGTAATCCAGAATGTGAGAACAGCAGATGTCAAATGAAAGAAGGATGAACGAACTCATCAATAGTTAGATCCTTATCTCACTTAGCATATAAAAATAAATTCCATAAATAAATAAGTTCCAAGTGGACTGAAAAACTGAAGGTAAACAAGCAAAGCATTATAAGAAAATAGTTTCAATATGGGATGATGGGAAAGTTCTAGAGATGGATATTGGTGATGGTTGCACAATGTGAGTGTGCTTTATGCCACTGAACTATAAGCCTAAAAAAGGGTAAATTGTACATATGTATATTTTACCACAATTTAAAAAAAGAAGTGCAAAAAAATTATACTCTTGCAATGGGAAGAGCATAAAGAAAAAGATTTGAAGACTTCACTGTATAAAAAGTTTAATGTCTGTATGATAAAAGATACAGAAACAAAAGTTAAAAGACATGCACTTAATATTTCAATAGAAAAAAAAGAAAAAAAGAAAGCAACTGACTGTAATAAAATATATGTAACTTGTATAATAGATAAAAGATTAACATCTGAATATATAAAGGTGCTACAAAATAAACAGATGCAGAATATAACAAGTAATTCATGAAAGATATACAACCTCATAAATAATTAGGAAAATGTACATTAGAACAATTCTACTTTTCATCCATAAAATCAATAAAATTAAAAATACTAGTGGGGAGTGGGAGCAGCGGGGGGGGGGGGCAGTGTGTGGGGGGTCAATGGGGGAAAAAAGGAGGGACATCTGTAATACTTTCAACAATAAAGATAAATTTAAAAAATAATAATAAAATTAAAAAGATGGATTTCCATAATGGTGTAAACAAACAGATATTCTCATCACTGTGGCTTGACTTGTAAATCAGCAAAGCCTTGTGAGGACACTTAGTCGGCAGCTGGCCAGGAGGTAGATGCATGCGCCTTCCACCTGCCTGGTCTCCAGCAGAAATCTCCCGGAGGCAAACAAAAATCACGACAAGCGTGTCCACTGCACCATTATTTACGACATCAAAAAACAAAGCCTAACCCAACCCTCTGCAGGAGGTGGAGAGACCTGCTCTCTCACATCCCCCGTCAGGGAGCCACTGATAAGACACAGAGAGGTTTCTTTACAATCAACAGGGAGACAGGTCACACGGTGTTTTATAAACAAAGGCTAGTTACAAAAGTCCATATTTTGCGATCCCATTTTTGTCAAAAAGTAAAATAAAATAATATACTTTGTATAGAAAGAAAAATCTAGAAGGAAAAATCATATGAAGCTACTAACAATGGATATCATCTCTGGGAGTGGTTATCATGAAAAATTTGCACTCTAAGTTATATACTTCTGTAATGTCTGAACTATTGAAAATAAGCACAATCACTTTTGTAATTGAAAAAAAAAATGAGTGAAATAACAAGAACACCTCCACTCTCTGCAGAACCGCAGGGGTGGTGGCTATGATTCCAGTGGGTTCCGGGAACAGCCTCTGTACAGAGGAGCTTCTGGTCCACTCAGGAGCTGTCCCAGCCAATCATGCCCAGCCCCCGTTCCCAGGCAGAGCTGGTGGTGGGAATGCCAGGCCCAGGGCCAGCTTCTGCCACGGCGGCCAGAGCAGCACTGTTCCTGTGTTGAGAGCCTTGGCTGAAATGGTGGGCACACTCCACGCTGGCACAAATGACTGTTCTCTTTGTCTCTGACCTCGGGGGGGTCTCCGATCACCATTTAAAATTGGAAACATCTCACTTGAAAAGATGGTAAAGGAGATCAGATCAGCTGGGAGGATTTGAAGGTGACTCCTGGGTAAGGGCTACAGAAAACCTGGCTGTGCGCAGGTCTGGAAGGGCACAATGCTGGAAAGCCTGTGCCACGACCTCTGCAAGATGCAACGGAGTGGAGAGGAGAAAAGGAGTGGAGAGGGAAAGTAAACCAAAACACGAAACCCCAGGCTCTACGACACACGGGAACACAACAGCCAGGGAGCATGACAGAAAAGGAGGCTCGAAGCGGTCCCCGATGTGCTCAAAGCTACCAAGCTACAACCTGAGCCTGGACTGAATCTTTTCTGCCTACAAGCCCAGCACACTGAAACTTCCCAACACTGGAGTCCGTTTCCCCACCTTCCCAGGCAGACTCACCTGTGAGTTGGAGGGCAGCACCTGGGAGGTGGGCTCCTCAGATGGGGCTGCTCCTGGGCCCATGGGGCTCAACGTGGTGATTCGGCTTGGTTGTCCTCGTAGGGTCAGAGTAATGGTGGTGGGGACTTTTAAGCCTGAGAGAGAGAGAGAGAGAGAGAGAGAGAGAGAGAGAGAGAGGTTTTTTGGTCACATTCCCTTTCCTAGGGAGTTTCTCCCCCACATAACATACCTTCCTTGGCCTCCCACCTTGGCCTCCTCCCCAGCTGGGTCATCTACACCCTATCGGTCATTCTGAAAGGCAACAGAAAACAGCCTGTGTTCTCTCACCCTCTCTGGAAGATGGGCCCCTACAACTGAATCCCTGAGGATCAATGCCAAAACCCTGGTTGGGTTCAACAGCATACCTTGCCCATGTGGAATGAGAAGGTCCTGGGGGAAGATCCTATAGCTGGGAGTCCCCATGGTTCTCAAGAAAGACTCACCTGATGCGTGGTTAGAGATCTGAGCCAGGCCAGGGAGGCTGCTTGCCAACTTGGCGAGGCCCCCATTGGTCAGCAGCTGGTGGATGGCTGTGGGCTTCCCACCAGGAGTGGCACCCAAGGAGGAGAGAGTGGTGGCCACAGGAATGGTACGGACAATGGTGCTGGTGCCCGTGGTGATGGCACCCAGGTTCTGTATGGGGGTAGGCAACTTCACACTGGTGGCCTGTGGGACACACAAGCCCAGGTGATCAGAAGCTGTTGCCCAACAGACACATCCAAGCATGGCGGGCCCACAGCATGTATTAAAGGCTACCATGTACTGAGTGCCCACCGCATGCAAGGTACTCTTCCAGGCATTTCCCACATATTATGGTATTTAGTCCTCAAAACACCTCAATCTATAAACAAAGAAACAAAGGTACAGAGAGGTCGAGAAACTTGCCCAGAGTCACATAGTAAGTGATGGAGCCTTAACCTGTGGTAGCTCCCAGCTGGGAAGTCAGAGGCTGTCTGTCCTTGACCCAGACTCCAGACCCAGTCTCCCTATCAAAGCCAACCAAGCTGAGGAGGCCTCCTCCCCACACCTGCCCGGCCAGAGGAAGGCAGATGCGCACCTGTGGAGATGGTCCTGGGGAGGAATTTGCTGGGAGGCCAGAGTTCTTGCTGCTGATATCCTGCAAGCTGAAGCTGAGGCCTTGGAGGAGGCTGCTGGCTGATGTGGCGCCTAAGAGATGACATGATAGACAGCACAAGCTCAACCACTGATCCAAGAGTAGTCATGCCCATCCACCCTCCACAACCAAGTCAACACCATGTGTGCTCGCTCTCTCGGACACTCCCAACACCCTCAGGAGGCCAGTAGGGCTCCCAGCACACTGAATGCCCACATGAGGAAGACTCTATGCAGATCCACAGCCTTCAATTCCTACTGCATGTCCCAACCTGCTCAAACCACCTATCCTACATTTTGGACAGTTTTAGGAAAACCAAAGAGAATTTGAATCCCACTTTTCAGAACTCTAAATTCCCTTACTTCTTTCTAGGGAAGAGAAAGAATTTTTTTAAAAAAAATTTAATCCTCACCTGAGAACATGCTTAGAGAAAGGAAGGGAAAAAGAGGGAAATAAACATCAATGTGACAGAGAAACACTGATTGTTGCCTTTCGTACGCACCGGTAGTGAGGACTGAACCCACAAACCAAGTATGTGCCTCGACCAGGAATCAAGCTGGCAACCTTTCGGGGCACGAGACAATGCTCAACCAACTCAGCCACTCCAGCCAGGCGAGAAAGGACTTTTTAAGCCAAAAGAATTCCAAGTACCTGACTTATACCTTACTTTATACACAGCCCAGTGGCCTCAAAGCAGAGGAAGGTCCTGTTGAAGGAAAAGGGCTATGAATGGCCCTGCTGGGCTCAGGCAGCCAGCCTTTCAGTGCCAGGTGGGTGGAAGGGTGAGGAGGCGTGCACAGGCAGAAACGTCTGTTACTAACGCCCAGCATGGCACCACTTCTGGTTTTAGTCAATCTTAAAAACCTCAAAATGAAAAACAATACCTACACCCCCACCAGAGACTTCTCCTCCTTGCAGTATAGGATGCACTGCCTGCAGACTGGGAATTTTACGCACTGTACATATTAAGGCCAAGAACTTCATGCCTCTTGAATTCAAACTTCCCTGACAAGCCCAAGACCCCAAGGAGTGTCCTCCAGATTCAGCTCCAGGTGCTTTCCCAGGACCACCCTCCAGCAACTGCCCAGACTCTGCTAGGAGGCTGGCATGCTGGGCCCCCACATACCTGGGAGGGAGCTGCTAGAGGAGGTGGCCACCAGGCGGCTCTGGAGTGTGTGCAAGGGACTGGGTGCGGCGCTGCTGGAGACCATGGAGGAGGCTGGGCTGGCTAACACACCTCCTTCAGAAGCACTGGACCTGGACACAAAGATAGGAGCTCCATTATCCAAAGGTTACACAGGGAGGGCCAGAGCAGGAGGCCCAAAGCACAGCCCACAAAGGTTTCAGCAATGGACATAAGGCTGGAACCTTTGGTCTCTTCATCCTGCCTTCTGAATCGGCCACTAGTCCTTCTAGAAGTCACGCCTAAAGTAAACACTTCAGAGGCCTTGAAACAAAAGCTATGGGATGCTTTGCAAACTTTAGATAAAAACGAACTGAACTCTGAGTTGGCCCAAAAGAAAAACAAAGATCCTACCCAGAAAGAAGTCACATTCCCCACACAGAGAATCCAGAATCCACCATCTTTCCAAAGCATTAAGTGGACCAGAAAAAAGGGAGAAGAGGAAGAAGGGAACAGAGCCGGACAGAACAAGAACACTCACTTGGTTGTGGTGAGCAGCCCTGTGAGCTCCTTGGGCCCCGACGCCTGCCCCAGGGTCATTGTGATGGGCTTCCCGCCCATGGCTGCAAGACAAAACCCCAGGCCACTGGTCAGTCCTATTTGGCCCACCTTTCATTGGCCAGGCTAAATGCAAGATATTATGGACAAAGACTGGATGAAGAAAAATGAAGAATACATGAGAGTAGGAAGAGTTGGGGTTTTTTCCTTCTGTTTTCAAAACTTCCTGAAATATTTCATTTTTAATTGAAACAAACAAACAAAATAACCCCAAATACAATGCTCTGAATGACCTAGAGCTTCCTCTGATCTTCGTTCTGCCCCCATGATCCTAGCTCAGATTAGGACACTGCCTCCCTTCCCCTCGGGCCACTCGAGCCCTCTGCTCCAGGCACCGCTCGCACTAAGCTGAGGCTGAGCACCAGCAAGCAGCCCAAGAGGGCAATGCTTTGTGCCCGAAGAGAGCTCAGTCGGTGTTCACTGAAACAGGTCAAGGGAAACTCACCTTCCGGCACTCCTCCTTGGGAAGGAGTACAAGGTCCTCCAGCTGGGTCCCCTTGGGAGATGAGGGACACCTTGATCTTGGGTCGCTTGGAGGTTTTACTGCCAGACAGAGGACTGGAGGGATGATGCCTCTTCAGCTGGACCCTAAGGTCCTCTTTCTCTGCTTCCTCCGTTTGTTCTGATGAAATGGGAACTAACAGAGAGAGCTGGGGTAAGGTCCTCCATAGTCCCACAGACACTGACAGTCAGGACAGCGTGGGTACAGCTGTGTGTGGGGACACACAGGAATACCAGCCACGCAGGGAGTCACATTTCAAAGACCATGACCTCTGCGTTAGTCCCACCTCGATCAGCCCCCCTCAGAAAGGCACCATCCCCATCCCTCACTCTGCTCTGGAGTTGGAAAGAAGGGGGCTCTGAGTTGTGGGAACAAAAAGAAAGGAGATAACCTGACCCTGCCTGGCAAAGGCCAAACAAAACACAGAGGTCTCACCACAGTGTATCTAAACAGCACTTCCCAGACTACAAAAATGTGATCATTTTCCCGTTTCAACACTGCCCCCACGTGACACTGCTAGAGGGCAGGAAACATTCCAGGAAGAGCAATGAAGGAGCAGGCTGCAGTCTCCCCTACACGCAGATTTTCACAGACTCTGAGTCCCCCTGCCCTAGGAGCCCTAGGCTGAAGGTCTGCTTGCCACTCAGAGGACTGCCACCAGGACTTCAGGCTGGCTTTAGGAGCTCCTAGGCAAGGGAACATCTCAGCCAAAACACCTTTACATCTCCTGTCCCAAAGTAACAGGGCAATAGTGGCCCATATCACAACCTAGTCCCCAGGCCCCTTGCCCTAGGTACAGAGAATGGCTACTGTTCACACATAAGCTTTCCTTCCAATGAGTCAAAAAGACTCATGCTGCACATGGCCAAGCCTTTGTATCCCTCAGGCTTCCTCACAGATCCCCTCCTCTTTAAACCCAGAGCCCCAGACCCTCGTCTTAGCATAGGTGATCGGGGGGAGGAGGGGGACGGACACGCAGCAGCCATGAGGGCGGAGGAAACTGGCATGGGCCACAGGGAGCTTTTCCAGACCACAGTTAGGGCATAATCAGCTGGAAGGATTGCTTAGGGGATAAAGGCATTGACTAAAATCTGAATTGGAAAGAAGTAATAAAAGGGAAAGGAGTTACAGTTCTATGCTGGCAAATGGCTTGCAGGGGCCAGGATAGAGGAAGGAAACCACAGGCTGAAGAAAAACACCCAGGGAAATGCAGCCTCACGGGCATTCACAGGAGAAGCAGAGCCAAGAACCACAATCAGAGACAAAAAGCAAAAAACAGCACGAGGGGCAAACAGAAAGAACGGAGAAAAAGCAAAGACAGTGGAGTAAGCAAAAGGAGTCAGTAAAAAAAAAAAAAAAAAAAGAATCAAAAGATAGAAAAAGGCAGAGAGAAAAGAACAGGAGGAAACCAAACAGGGACAAACGAGAGGCTGGGGCAGGGAGCACAGAGGGAGAGGTGAGAGAGAGTAATACTCACCAAAGAGACAGGAGGAGGTGCCAGGAGGAAGAGCTTTCCTCACCAGCATATTTTGTTTCAGAAAAGCAGCAAACTGTGCTGGAACGAATCAGAAAGAATTATAGAATCACAGCCAGCCAGAGTAAGGAGAAAGAGAGAGAGTAGAAAAAAGATATGAAAATGGTCTAGAAAATGGTCAACAGGTTTTTTTTCTGGAATTACTACATGGGTCTGAACTGACTTTCCTTTCAGCAGCTCCATGGAATCACCTATAAACTGGGAAGATAAATGCACCTGCTTCATGGGGCCACAGCCCAGTCAAGCACCAGGAAGAGACCCTAGCACGTAGCAAGGGCTCCATAAATGTTAGCTATCACTGTTCCTTTTGAACTCAGCCAAAGCCAGGGGTTGCGGCTGCTGCTTCCCCCATGATACTCTGGGTCCCATTTTGAACCCAGCTCACCAATCATCTTCCACAACTCCTTAGATTCTCAAGTAATTATCCCCTCCAGAGGCACCACAGACCGCTGGCTCTCTCTTCATCAAAAGCCTAAGTGGACACCGCCCACCCAGAACTTGGCTCTGGCCACCACTTAGGAAGGTCCGGGTCACAAAGCATCCACATGGACCCTGGGGCCCTGGTTCTTTTTTGTCTTCATCTATCCACTTGCACTTCTGCTCCTTGTCAGCACCACTCTTAAGGGCATTTTCCTAACAGGCCTGGGTTTTAAGTCCTTACTCTTTGGCTTCACTAAAGAAAACACAGGGGAAGTGCGCAGGTCAGCCTCCTGTCACCTTCACCTCTATTTGACAGCCAGCTCTGGCTGCTGCCTCTTCCATAAACCTCAAATGATATGTGCTCCTAGATACCTCATCAAACACCAATGCCCAAGAGACCTCACCTCAGGGCCGCCCAACTGGACCAAAGTGGAGGGAGGGGTAGAGCCACTGTTTCTCCTTCTCTCCCTACCCACTGAACTCTCCCTTTCCTAGAGCTTCTTCTGTAGCACTCACTGATCTCCAAACTCTAATTTCAATCACTCCAATATTTCCCAGCCTAATCTAAAACCTATATGTAGAGACCCCGATAAACCCCACTGAAAGTCCCAGTGTGGAAATCTTAACTCTTCAAGAGCAAAACAAAGAAAGAGCATGAGGCCAGTTAATCTCCCTTAGAATCTGGGGAATAAGCCAATCACCCTGCCAACGTGACCTGGAGAGCTCCCTGGCTGCGGGAGTGGCTGGGCAGGGCCTGGAACAGAAGCTGTAGCTCCCCGAATTGGGAGTTAGAAAAGTACTTCAGCCCTGGCCGGTTTGGCTCAGCGGTTAGAGCGTCGGCCTGCGGTCCTGAGAGACCCGGGTTCGGTTCCCGCTAAGGGCATGTACCTCGGTTGCAGTTTGTCCCCGGCCCTGGTCGGTTGTGCGGGTGGCAGCCACTCGATGTGTCCCTTTCATGTCGATGTTTCTCTCTCTCTCTGTTCCTCTCTCTCCCTCCCACTCTACCTGAACAAAAAATGGAAAAACGTCCTCGGGTGAGGATAAAAAAAAACAAAAACAAAAAAAACCAGAAAAGTACTTCAGGCCAATACACACATCAGCTCACACAGCCTAACTGCCCTGAACACCAAGACAAAGCTGTAACCATGGTATGATGCCGCCCCTACACATAGACCTTGAGTGATGTTTTACCCTGAAAAACAGCCCTTAGTATTCATTTTGCCCTAATTTTGCTTGGACAGAGTGTGAGAAAGGTGTCTCACATGCCCCTGCAAAAAGCTGCAGAAGCCAGTACTTTCCAACTGCCACAGGATGTCAACTGCAGAGCACAGAGCCCGAGAGAGGCCACTGAACGGGGCACCAGTACCTTGGGCTTGTCTGTGGGTCAGCACAGCTTCTGTCCGCTGCACATGTCTCTTCAGCAACTGAGAGCTCCCAATCTGACTGGACTTCTGGGCCGAGGCCACTGTGGTAATTTTGGTCTTAGGACTGGAGGTGGGACTGCTGGACACACTGGAGAGATCCTGAGCAGGATAAAAAGGACAATAGTCAAGCCAACGTTGTCTGGGTTTGACCACCAATCGGCATGTCCCCTAGAATTCACTGGTCAGGAATTCTCCATGTGGGAACTCACAGGCCTACAGCACTGGCCCCAGCACACAGACAATCTCAAGAAGTCAAAACCCCAGCTCTGGTCTTTATTCCCCAGCAAAAGTGCCCCTTCCCTGCCCGCATTACCTCGGAGCCTGAAGGGGAGGCAGGCAGCCTGGCAGCTGGCGAGGTGGGTCGACTGCCCCTTTCGGGGACCTCAAAGGTCAGGTCTCTGCGGGCCACATCCCGGGGCTTCTTCTTCTTCTCAGCATCCTGGTCCCGAGGCTCAGCGCCTACATGCCCCTCAGTACGAGTGAGCACGCCAGTCAGAAAGTCCACGATTTCATCCTGGTGTAAAGAGGGCCAACGCCTGGGTCCTTGGCTGGAGAACAGGAACCTTTCTGATAGTTCCAACTAAAACTGATTACCTTGGCTTTGGTACTGGAGGTGCCAGTCCCTCTCCATGTGCACAAAACCTGGCACGAACCCCAACCTCAGCCAGAGGCCAGCAGAAACCTCTGTGAGGTGGTACCTGGGGTGGTCCTGTGCCACCATTCTGCCCCCATGCCTTTCCCAAATTTCAGCTCATTACTCTTTCTCCTTCTTCTCCCTCTTTCTTTTCTCTTTGCTTATGATTTAGGGCTACCAGAGGCTCCTTACCCTTCAGAGACAAAGAGGCTGCTGCTGGCAAGACTAAGCCTAAAAGGCTGCAGAATGGGAGCCTAGCTGAGAAAACATGCAAAGCAACTGTGTACCTGGATGCACCTGTCCACCATGCTCTGAGTCAACCCTTCCGATTTCTTCTTTGCTTTGCTTATCCTAAGAGACAAAAAGGAGGAAATGTTCCCTTTCTAAATATTCCATGGCATCAAGTGGAGGTTATTTTATAGGCCTGGGAAAGAAGACTATGTTAGCCTTCAGGCAGGTACTGCAACCTCTCTGAACCTCAGTTTCCACATTTGCAAAATGGAGAACCATAATGCCTCACTTAGAGTTGGGGGATTGCACAAAAGAACATATGGAAAGTGCTGGAACTGCCCACTCCAGAAATGCTATACCTATGGCCCCACAGACCTCACAAGTCCCCCAACACAGGCCCAAACCCTGAGAAGTTGTCAAATGACCAAGACCAGAAGGAATTCTCCCAAACATCTCTGGGTAAGAAACTGACAAGATAGGTGCGAGCAGGTATCTGCTTTAATCTCTCTAGTTAAAGCACATAAATAGCTGAATCTCTAAGAGTGAGCACATAAAAAAAGGAGGCCCCATAAATAACACAACCTGTCTTTCAGTATGTTTCACAGAAACTGACTAAAGGCCCTACAGGCAGCCGGACTTGTAAAGGAGGAGTGGATTTCTCGATACTAAAGGTGTCTTATAAAACTCTCAAACTCTGGCTGCTTATACTCCAAAATATATTAAAGGTGCTTAATACAAATAAAATGTGTTCATATTCCTCCTCAGGAAGGAACAAAATGTAAAGAAATGCCTACCCCAGTAAAACCATGACAACAAAGACTATATTTACAGGGTCTCAAAGTATCTTCTCCCACAAGATAACTACTAATTACAAAGGGAAAATAGTAACTTTACGGTGCAGAAATCTGGCAAAGGCCACCTTTACCTGTGATCAAGGCTAACGTCACCAGTGATAAGATGTGTCAACATCATGTACCCTCTGAGGGGTGCATTGACAGCACCTCGCCTCTGTGGCATTACTGCCAGAAATACACATCTTCAACCTAATCGTAAAAAATGTCAAAAACCTACACTGAGGGATAGTCTACAAAATAACTGTCCAAAGTTCTTCAAAAGCTTCAAGGTCACCATGGCTAGTTTGGCTCAGCAGTTGGAGCACTGGCCTTCGGACTGAGGGGTCTCGGGTTCAATTTCGGTCAAGGGCACATACCTGGGTTGCAGGGTTGATCCCCAGCCCAGGTCAGGGTCGTATGGGAGGCCACCAATCAATGTGTCTCTTTCACATCAACATTTCTCTCTCTCTCCCTCCCTCCCTGTGTCCCTTCTACCCTCTCTACAAAAATCAATGGAAAAATATTCTTGGGTGAGGATTAAGAAAAAAAAATTTTTTAATGAAAAAAGTGTCAAGGTCATAAAAGACAAAGATGAGCCCGGCTGGTGTGGTTTTCAGTGGCTGAGCGTCGACCCATGCATCATGAGGTCAGTTGCCAGTTCGATTCCCGGTCAGGACACATGCCCAGGTTGTGGGCCAACTCCCCAGTGGGGGGGCATGCAGGAGGCGGCTAATCAATGTTCTCTCTCTCTCTCTCTCCCCCTAAAAATCAATAAAGAAAAACAAAATTAAAAAAAAAAAAAGACAAAGACGGACTAAGAGTATCAAGTTAAAGGAGACGGAGAAGCCATGGCACTAAGAGCAACATGTGATCCTGGACTGGATCCTGAACCTGAGACAAGTGATGCGATCTGAGTCTGCAGACTAAATAACAGTATCATATTAAAGTTCATTTCCTGACTTTCATAAATTATGCACTGGTTATGTGAGATGTTAATATTTGGGAAACCTGGGTGAAGGGTATACAAAAAAAAAAAATTTTTTTTTTTTTACTATTTTTACAATGTTTTATAAATCTGAATTAGTTAAAATGTGAATAAAATGTTTTTAATGCCTTTGCAGATTTAGTCTGAAACAAGTCAGTCTACAGCTAGCTACCTTACCACCTCAAAGGCATATCTCCAACACTGCAGCATGGGTCTCTCGCAGTACGGGCCTACTCACCTGAGATTATCGTCAGCTCCCCCAACCACCACCAAACTGTTCTCAGCCCGAATCTTCTCCCGGAAGTCCTCCATGGCTTCAGGATGACATTGCAGGGAATTCTGACCAATGACAAAGAGGACTGGAGTCTTCATATCCAAGAGCGGATCATCCACATCCTAAAACAAGTACAGGGTTTACAATTAGCTAGTTCATATTGACTGAGCACTGCCCTGGCCCGTCCGCTCAGGAAATCAGCTGGGCCACCACAGTCACTGCAACCAACCTGGGTGAGACATGCACTCCCTATTCTCACCTGCCCTGCAATCAATGGCACCCCATGCTTACCCCTCGGGGGCCATCCACGGTAAGCAGGGGGAACCCAAGGCAGACAACCGCTGTGACGTACTCCATCACCGACACCTAGAAATAATGGAACAGTTTGTCTCACGGTCAACTGTCTTCCTACACCCAGAACTCAGAGCTGGTCCAGACCTACCAGCCAGTCCCATCTACTCCTCCCATCCCAACCCCCAGAATAGTAGCCATGGTATCAGCAGTAAGAGCACAGAACACAGATGTGCTACCCCCACCCCTGGAAAAGTGGGACCCTGAGAAGACTCCAGCAAAGGCTGAAGCACAGGATGGGAGGTTTAATATTTCCATCCTGCCAATTCCCTAGGTGAAAAGCCTCCAGCTCATTTCCCCTGCTCCCTCCACTTACAGCAAATACAATCAGGAGAACAAAATGCTGCTCTTCTCCCTTAAGAAGATCTCCCCCTTTTGAACTTAATGAATAGCTCCTAGGCCCCCCAAACTTCTTAGAAAATTCATTGTCCTGGAACCAGGGTTACGAGGAGATAGCCTTCTCTCATGGTCCAAAATGTCCTATTTGACTAGACTGCATCAAGCAGCACAGTATTCGCTTACTTGATCTACTTGAGAACTGGGGCTCTGGACAGGTCTGGGACACTTACGCAAACTGATATACACACAAATGGTATGTAACATAATAATAAAAGCATAGCTGTGAGTTGATCACTGGTAAAGCTGGCTGAGGGCCCAAGGGGATTACTATGCTAGTCTATTCTTCCTTTAAGTTTCTGTTTAAAATTGTCCATGACGTTAAAAAAATAAAATTTGTCTTTTATAGTTTAAAATGTAATTATGTAGGTCCAGCATCTAGCACTGTGCCTGAAACATGAAAGAGGACTCTGCGGTGGCTAGCAGCAGTAGCAGCAGTATTCTACCCAGGACAGCCTGCAAATCAGGTGCGAATTACTTACATGACAGGCCACCAGAGCTCCTGTATTCCAGCCAATCAAGATAATGGGCTTGTGGGGGAAATGGCTGTGAATCTTTGTAGAAAGAGAAAGAAGACACGACAGTTACACAGGAGGCAAATGGCGGGTGCAGAAGGAGCCCAGAAGGCGGGGTGTGCCTCAGCGAACTCCAGTGGGGGCAGTCTCACCTCTAGCACTTTGCTTCTCACTGCCCCAATCATATGCTCAAGACACTGCAGAACTCCTACCCCACTTCCATTGTTCAGCAGATGAGTGGCTACAGGGATGACCTAAAGGAAGGAAGTGGCAGCCATGCCAACAGGTTAAGTTTGAAGTCTTCTCTCAAATCTGCATAACCAACTCTAGATTTCATCAATGCTGGGTAAGTACCATTCAAATTTCAAACAAAAAGAGAGTTGGGGAAACTCCATTTCTAAGTTCATTCATTTTGACCCCCTGCTACATTTTGTCTGCTTAATCCTCCAAGACTATACCCCCACCCAGGACACAGTTCCTCTTGTCCCCACACATACCTTGCCTAAGCAGGAGAGCTGAGACTGCCAGAAGCGGTGGCGGCGTGAGGTGGGAAACGCAGAGCTGGAGGGCCCGGAGGAGGCAATGAGAATGAGTGGAGAGCCAGGGAGTTTGCTCTATGGAAAAAGAACGCCGCCACAGAATACTCACTATCCTCTCGCCAAAGTTCTAAGACCAGATTCTAAAAATTCTATGGGCCATAGTTAAGTCCTGAGCCGCCTGACTTACTGGTTTGTTATGAGAAAGCACCCCCACAGCAGGATCCCAGGGCCTCTTCAGCAGGAGGGACAAGGCCTCAGCTCCTGCAGCCCCGGTCTTTGTGTTGGATGACACAAGCATCCGGTCAATCAAGGTAGGGATCTAGAAGTAAGGAAGAACAAAGGTGCTTCCAGTGTGAAGCAGGAGACCTGCCCACCAGCAGGAATCAGGCAGGAGAACAGAGCCCCACTATGAGCCACACAGATTTCAACTATGCCTCTTGTACTTCCCTAAGGAACAAAGATATGAGTAAGTGGATGGCTAAGGAGTATGCTTCCCACCACTAGAGGTAGATAGGTACAATGCTTTGGAAAGATACCTGGTGATATATCAAGAAACCTAAATTTAGCCCTGGCCAGTGTTGTCCAGTGGTTAGAGCGTCAGCCTTTGTACCGAAGGTCTTGGGTTTGATTCCTGATCAAGGGCATGTACCTGGGTTGCAGGTTTGATCCCTGGCCCCTACTGGGTCACATGCTGAGGCAACCAATCGATGTCTCTCTCTCACATTGATGTTTCTCTCTCTTTCTCTTTCTCTCTCTCTCTCTCTCTCCCCCTTACACTCTCTCTAAAAATCAATGGAAAAAATATCCTCAGTGAGAATTAACAAACAAAAGAAACTTAAATATATTATCCCTTCCCCAAAGGATTCAACTCCTTTTTTATTTTTTATTATTGTTATTTTTTAATCCTCACGTGAGGATATTTTTCTATTTATCTTCAGATAGAGTGGAAGGGAGAGAGAGAAAAACATCCACATGAGAGGGACACATCAACTGGTTGCCTCCCACACGATCCTGACCAGGGCCAGAGACAAACTGCAACCGAGGAACGTGCCCTTGGCCGGAATTGAAACTGCGACTCATTGATCTGTGGGCCAATGTCTACTGCTGAGCCAAACCGGCCAGGACTCTACTCCTTTTTTTAAATGTTTTCTATTGATTTTCTAGAAAGAGAGGAAGAGAGATAAAGAGAGATAGAAACATCAACGAGAGATACGAGAGACAGAAGCATCAACATCAATTGGCTACCTCCTGCATGCCCCCTACCAGGGATAGAGCCCACAATCCAGCACGTGCCCTGACTGGGAATCGAACCAGCAACCTCTTGGTGTATAGGCTGATGCTCGACCACTAAGCCACCCAGCTGGACAAAGGATTCTAAGAACCTTTCCTAACAAAATATATCAGAGATACATATGTGCACACACTTACACAGGATGGGGATTACAGAAAAGACAAATTCACTCTCAGTAACAATCAAAAAGCAAGAACAACCTAAATGCGCACGCGCGCACACCAGGGCCGGGGACAAACTGCAACCAAGGTACATGCCCTTAGCGGGAACCAAACCTGGGTCTCTCTGGTCCACAGGCCGACGCTCTAACCGCTGAGCCAAACTGGCCAGGGCTGTGAAGAACATTTAAAATGCCTGAAATACTCTTAGGCTGCCACTCTCTGCTGGTCTTATCTTGATCCCACCTACCATTCACCTCCTGGGCTCAGGACTCTACTTCAGAGCAGCAAAGGGGACATCTGGAACTACCTCTTCATCTGTCTCTTTCTCCACTAGAAAATAGGTTCTATCAGAGTAGGGGGCATTTCTATTTTGCTCACCCCAGACACATTATAGGTACAAAATAAATTATTTGTTGAATAACTAAATTAACATCAATTTCCTACCATGAATGTCATTATTGCACCTAGTCCTGAATTTTATTTCTGTACTAAACCAGTCTGTTTCTGCTTTCAAACAAACTCATCATCCCTCTACTGAAAAAAAGGTAGGAAACAATGAGTCTAAAAATTTGGGGGTATGGCTGGGGGAAGCTGTTGGCCAGGCAAATTATAGCAACAAAATGAGCCAGCTTCCCACAAAGTAGAAGAAATAAAAACTTAAGGGAAAAAAGTCAAGAACTAAATTAATCCAAGTTGTCTGAGGCCTTCTGTATTGGAGCAAAACACTCTAAAAATTTCAAGAACCTAAACTTATACAATCATTAATAGTTGATGTGGCCCTGGCCGTTTTTGCTCAGTGGTTAGAGCACCGGCCTGCGGTCCAGAGAGACCCAGGTTCAGTTCCCGCTAAGGGCATATACCTCGGATGCAGTTTGTCCCCTGCCCTGGTTGGGTTGTGCGGATGGCAACCACTCAGTGTGTCCCTTTCACGTCAACGTTTCTCTCTCTCTCTCTCTCTCTCTTCCTCTCTCCCTCCCACTCTATCTGAACAAAAAACAAAAAAATGTCCTCGGGTGAGGATGAAAAAAAAAAAATAGTTGATGTGGGTTTACTTGGCCAAATTTTGTGGCAAGCATTCTATCTGGATCAACTAATTTAATTTTCACTAAAACCCTGGATAGGTATTATTAGCCATGTATAATAAACTGAGGCACAATTCGAGATGAGATGAGCCAGGCAGTCTGCACCCAGAACCTGTACCCTACCACACTGAACATAGCCGAGGGCAGTAACAGAAATTGCAATACACTGGAATCATAAAAACAAAACAGTTTGACTTTGTGCAATACTGTCTCAAAGAGAAAGCAGAAAAGCGTAGATAAGCTTTATAGAGAATTATTAAAGTCAAAGTGTTGCTACTGAAGCCTCACCCCGCAATGAGGAAAGACAGAGGCACAAATGTCCCTTCCTGCTCTGGACCCCTCCTCAGCCCCAACCCCTGCACTCTGAGCTCATGGGCCTGCCTGGTAAACCCTTCATCTTCTCTGTAATAGTTCAATTCTTTTCTTACCTCACCTAGAGGTGACTCAAACCACAAGCTACAGGGCTGGAGAGGCTACAAGGGTACTCTGGTTTTCAAGCCCACACCCCATCCCAGAGCCAGGAGGACTGAAGACGTTTACACCAGACCAAAATGTGAAATGATACCATGTCTCCTATTTTAATAGCAAACCTGGCAGATTCAGTCATGCCCTGCTGGCTGACCAAGTGATGACCTTGCCAAGCTCCACTTCCTGAACCCACAGCAGAGGCTGGCTACCCTAGCACAATGTAGACACCAATCACATAGCCTTACCTTCCCTTTGAGCGTCTGCAAAGCATCCAGGTAGGCCGCCAGCATGGGCAGACTCAAGGTCTCCACCAGGGTGGTGTGTAGCCACTGAATCAGCTTGGTATCCCAGCTCACACTTGCCAAGGCCTGCCGCACTCTCCTTGCACACTTGTCCACAGCAACGCGGCGTAGCACTGGCTCATTGCAAGCCTGAAAGACAGACATGGAGCAATAAAACATGAATCATGAGGTCCACTTTGTCAGCAATGGGGGCACACCGTTGGCAGCTTTCTGGAGTCTCACCCCTTCGTTGGCCAAGCGGGCAAGCCGGTCAGACTGCAGCGCTTTAAGGATCTTGTTGAATAGCTTGTTCTGAGCCATTGTCCAGCCCGTTCTGTAAGGGAAACACCAAGGAATTAAAGTCAAACCCTGGGAACACATCCCACGCATATATACTATACAAAGATCATGTCATGTCTTTTATCCTACTGTGGAACAGCATATGTCAATGTAGCTTAGTCTAAGGCCATGGAGATAAAGCACAAGACCAAGTTCTGCCAAAGAGCCACCTCAGCATACACCCATATTAATATATCCACTACAAGTCAAAATCAGTCATAGTGGCCCTGGCCAGTGGACCAAAGAATCGTGGGTTCGATACCAGTCAAGGGCATGTACCATGGTTGCAGTTCATCCCAGGCCCTGGTCGGGGGTTCATGAGGAAAGCAACCAGTCAATGTGTCTCTCTCACATCAATGTTTCTGTTTCTCTCTCTCTCTCTCTCTCTCTCTCTCTCTCTCTCTCTCTCTCCACCTCCCTCCCACTCTAAAAAAATATCCTCAAGTGAGGAATGAAAAAAAAATCAGTCATAGTGAAGTCTTTTTAGTGCTAGCCAAGCTAATTATTTACCTAGTGGCTAAAATAATCTATGAGTAAATAAAAGCATGGCCCCACTGCACAGACATATTTGAATTTCACAAGGTTAATATCTTACACAAAAAGGCAGACAAAATGAGCAAGCATTTGTGTGTACTAGAACCTCAGACTAAGACAAGAGGCCTATTTAAATTAGCTTTGGGAACAAAAATAGAACAAAAATATAACAAATGAGTGACTATTCTCCCACCTCTCTCCCTTTTCCACCATGTGTTTTTTTTTCTTTCGGTATAGCACACAGTTAGCAAATTTACTTTTGAGTTAACACTGTGTCATCTCAGCACAGGACACAGGCACACACACTTCTATCCTGCTTGTGGATGGTGGGATGTGTCCTCCTCCAACTCAGCTGTGAACCCCTGCAATTAGAAACCTGTCCCACTGCCCTGCCCCACACGTCATACCCTGCACAGTGAAGTGGAGCTTATTAAAGTCCCCACCACCCCACTCTTGTCAATCTTAATTACTAAGACCCCAACTCTGGGCAGTAATCATCCTAAAGACACTGAGAAAAAGGTAACAGAAGATGTCCAATTAATATTTGTTCACCAAATTTCTCAGCCATAAAATAAACTGGTGACAAGATCACCTTAAACATTTTTTAAGTGGGTGACAGGTCCAAATGAGAACCTGGAATGAAATCAAGGCAGCAGTTCAAATCAGTGGGATAAAGGAAGTGGGCTGAGACAACCAGCAGCCAACTAGAAAAAGAAACCCTGGACCCCTACAAAAATAAATTCAAGTGGAACAAGAAGTTAAATATCAAAAAGTAAAATTGCCACCCTGGCCAGTTTGGCTCAGCAGTTAGAGCGTCGGCCTGCGGTCCAAAGAGACCCAGGTTCGGTTCCCGCTAAGGGCACGTACTTCGGTTGCAGTTTGTCCCCGGCCCTGGTTGGGTCGTGTGGGTGGCAGCCACTCGATGTGTCCCTTTCACGTCGATGTTTCTCTCTCTCTCTTCCTCTCTCTCCCTCCCGCTCTATCTGAATAAAAAATGGAAAAACGTCCTCGGGTGAGGATAAAAAAAATAAAGGTAAAATTGCCAAAGTACTAGAAGAAATAGTGATATCTATCAATTATCTATCTTAGAAAAGTAAGGCCTTAAGTATGACCTAAAACCTAGAAGCCATAAAAGGAAGAAAGATAAATGCAACTATATAAGCACTTCAAACTTCTGTAAAGGAAATAATGACATATCATAAACAAAGTCAAAACACCTGCTGTTTCATTAGAAAAGCCACTAGAAAATTAAGAGTCACTCTGCTCAAAACCCTGAAGTGGCCTCATATCAATCTGTTAAAAGCAATCATCGCCATAGGTTGTCTGGACCCCACTCCCCGCCTTCAAGTCCTAAATCTCTGAATAACAAACCCCAACAAAACCTGCCTGGATCTCAGTGAAACAGCAGGAATAAGACACACTGTCTGTCGTCCACGACTGCCCGACTTCTGAGCTTCACCACACTGCTCTCTCAAACCAGTTCTGCATGCTCCCACATCACAGCTGCGCCCCGGTCGTCCATTCCCTCTCCCTGGAACAATGGCTCCCTTTCCACCTCCTTCAGTCATTGCTCAGATGTCAACCTCTACTGTGAGTTTTCTGACTCACCTCCTTTTATAAAACCAAGACCCCACTCCCTCCCTGGCTTCCCTACCCCCCTTCCAGCCAAATCACCATCTCACATTCTATCCATTTTATTTATTTCGTTAGTCCATCTCCCTTTGCTAGAATGTAAAGGCCAAGATGGCAGGCATTTTGTTGGTTTTATTTAAGTGCTAGAACCCCAGCATGTACAGCAGTATCTGACACAGCAGGGACTTGACATCTGCTGAACAAATAAATGGATAAGTTGTGTGCATATGACATTCTAAGTCCTATAAGCAGCTGAGCACAAACTCAAACACTCACACTCCTCACCACACAAAGCCCTTGGGGACTGAGCAGAAGACACTGAAACATGAGGTGCAACCAATCTGAGCGTTTCACCATACCGGGGTGGTCAAACAATTTCAATACGTCTTACTTTACAGCAGACCAGAACCCTTCCCATCACACCCCACCAAGAAGGCACCCTATTTTCTACAGCTCATTTCTCTAAGAACACCAATATAACTTGGCCCAGTCACTATAAATTATCCTTTGTAATTCACTTTGTACAACTGTCCCAATGTCCTTAGAAAGAGTAACTATCCTCTAGAAAGGAAGAAAATATGGTCCAACTTCTTTTCCTTCTGTAAAACAAAATCTCACCTACATGTTTTACAACTGACTACACAGTCCAGGAGAAAACAAACTCGGAGCCACGGCTCTAACCAGCTCTGTAATGAAGAGCCAGATGTGTGCCCTTAGTCTCCTTCACTATAAAATAGACATGGAGCCCTGGAAGGTGTTGCCCAGTGGTTAGAGTGTCAGCCTCAGAACCAAAGGGTCTTGGGTTCAATTCCCGGTCAAAGGCACATAACTGGGTTGCAGGTTTGACCCCAGCCCTGGTCGGGGTCATTTGGGAGGCAACCAATTCATATCTCTCTCACATCAATGTTTCTCTCCCTCCCTCCCACTCTCTCTAAAATTCAATGAAAAAATATCCTCAGGTGAGGATTAACAACAAAAAAAGACATGGATCTCTAAGGTTCCTCTAGCAATAAAAACCCAGGTAAGCTATGATTACTGACGGAAGCAAAGGTTGTAACAGAGCAGCTGAAGTCCCTGATCACAGAATTCTTCAGAAGCGTTCCTTGTTTCACTAAATGCCTTCCCAACCTCCAAACCTCCCACCCTGTGTAGCACTCTTGTGGGTACCAGAAGCAGTCTTGGGTTTCTGAGAATTGTCCATTTTCTTATTTCCCCCTAGTTTTCTTGGCTTATTCTGGCTACTTCATCAAAACCCAGTCAGGTTTTGTTGTAGTTTGATATTCAGAGATTTGGGACTTGGGAGGTGGGGAGTAGAAGCTTCAATTAAAGTGTTGGGTCTCAGGAGACCCTGGATCCAGGAAAGCTTATGGGAAGTTACCATTATTTAAATGCACAAAACATCTCTCTCATGTATAGTGAGTCTCGAGTGGGCTTGGGGATCTGATGGTGGTGGGAGGAAAAAGGATATTCACAAGTAGTTTTAAAAGCTCTCTGAAGATACATGGATCTATTTCATTAATAATGCACTTCTTTGTTTTTACTGGCTGGTTCTGCCCTATCAGTGGGCATTCAGGTTGTGTTCCTTTCAATGCTCTTATGAACAGCTGCAGTGACCACCCCTCCTTTCCCAACCACACACACACACACACACACACACACACATCTATCTCCAACTTTATGCAACTGTGCAAGGATCTCTGAAGAATAAATTTCTTGATGTGGAAATGAATGATCAAAGGCTATCTAAGTTAAAATGTTCTAATTTCTAGTTCTGTGAAAATATGTATAAAAAACATGCAACATCTTGAAAGTGGTATTACACCGCAGCCTTACCCCCAGCAATAATGCTCATTTTATAGGTTAGACGTTAAACAACACCACAATTTCTTCATGTTCAACAATCTCTTAAGCTTTCTCAAAGCCTATTGATCATGTTGCAAACTTTAATTCCAAGGACAGGAAATGAGGCATAATTTATGAGGCACCAACAGTATTTTAAAAATTATACTGTTCTTTATTATGTAACAGGATGTTTTCTCTATTTGTTTTTCTTCCTCTGTATTTATTCTGAAACCCAAAATGGTGGCAGCAAGGAAAGTGATATGAACAAAATGGGAAGGGGGTTAGAAAGCTATTTAGAAATTACTTCTATATACCAATGACAGCTAAAATTAAATTAAAAAAAAAAACAAAAAAACACAATGTTGGGAGTCTAAAATCCCAGAAAAGGTTCTTAGAATTATTGCTGGATATACAAAAAAGTGATTCTAAGAATTGAATACGTTCTCTCTATTTTGTCAGCTTCGTGGAAGGCTGGAAAATTAAGTGGGCAGGGAAAAAAAAAAAGATCTAACCTAAGATTAAGATAAAGAGCATGCAAAATATATAATTAAGGAAATTTTTAAAAACAAGAGAGAATTTTAAATACAAGTCTAAACAGTCAAATAGCTGCTGGGAACTGTGGTGAGTCAACCCAGTCCCCCCACCTAAACCTATTCAATTTTCATGAGCGCAGAACACCTATTCTTCATTTCTTAGATGAGGTCACATAATCTCATGGTCTCCATGCTCTGACTGATCCTGAATGATGTAACCTCTGGATCATCTTATCCAAAGCAGCCAAAAAGTCACATTGGTCCTAGAAAAGCCTAATATTTTCAAAGGTAATTATTCTTTCTCTGATAGAGACTCATTTTTCAAGGGAGATGAATTCAATATTACAATGTCTAAAGAATTTTTTTAAAACCAGAAGTCAAACAGAAAGAGACAAAGAACATCCAGAGACACACACATAATAGGTCACATTTACTTTTTCAGATTATAAAATTTGTTCCTTAAACACCAGGAGAAAGGAAAGAATGAAGGGAAAAGGGAGAGCGGGAGGGAAGGAGAGAATGGGGAGGGAGGGATAGAGGAAGGGAGGAGAAATAAACAACACAAAGATCTTAGACTCAAAATTTCAAACATCAATTAGAGCAAATTTAGAAAAGGAGAATGGTTTTCTTTTGGCTGAATTCAGAGAAGTTTCAATTTCTAAGATAAGACAACCTGCTTTAGGACACTAGACTCTTTTACTGAAATATTGGAAATGTCCTAAAATCCATTTGAGCAATGCTGAAACATATCATGTATCAAGAGTATTTTATTGAATGACTTTCAAAAGCTGTGCATCTAATTAAACTTGACATTTGAGAAACATTTGGGGGTGGGGAGAAGCTGATCCAACTTCTTTAGGACAACATTACTACCCCAGCAAAATGTAAATCATTTTCAAAGTTCAGTCACAGCTTTGGCATGCAGACACAGGCACATGATCTGGACCAGACGTCAGCAAACTCTTTCTATAACGGACTGGACAGTATATGCTAGAGTCTGTGCACCATGTGATCTCTGTCACATCTACTCAACTCTTTGGTCGTAATGCAAAAGTAGCCATGGACAATACCTAAAAGAGTGACCATGACTGTGGTCCAATAAAGCTGTGCTTATAGACACTGACATTTGAATTTCATGTCTTCTTTTGATTTTTTTTTAACCACTCAAAAAATGTGAAAACCATTCTTGGTTTGCAGGCTGTATAAAAACAAGCACTGGGCCCCATGTGGTGCCTGGGCCCTGGCTTGCTAACCCTGATCTAGATAATTCAATCAGTCAGAGAAGAAATTTAAACTGTTTCACAAAATATTAGGCATTACTATAGAAAGTCAGAGTCAGTTGGAGGGGGGGGATTCATTTTCTATTCACAGAAAGTTATCTGAAGGCAGTTACTAATGAAATAATTCAAGAGGGGAAAATAGGGCACTAACAAAGAAAATTAAGTTTCTGACTCCATTGAAACATCTGAGGAAAAACAAATTTCTAGTCCTATAGACCATGAGTTTTTGATGTGGAAAACTGTAATTTTACATAATTTTATACAGGAAGAAAAGAAGCAGCAATTTAACAATCAAGTTAAGGGAAAGAATGGCAACAAGATGATTATAATCAGAGCAGAGGGAACTAACTGCAAGTTCCAGACATGTTATGGATCCAGAATTTGGGGACAAGGTCATAAAATGGTGACCTCTGAAAGTGAAGCCAATAAGTATCATCAAATAATAAAATTAGCTGTGTGCAAAAGTGACCTACCTGAAGAGATGGTTTGTAAGCCTGTTGCTAATGAGAAGGACGCCTCCAAAATCTCATCAGACACTAAAAAAACAAATAATCTGAGATAAACTGAGCGCTAATTAACCATATCAATCTATGGTAATGTCATAACAGAAGGATGGAGGTCCCCATGGAGAAAGACAAGCCAAAGATAAGAATCTGTCAGTGTTTGTCTGCAGGACTGGGTAGGTGAAGGTGTGCCCTGACCTACTCTTCAAGCCCTCCTTGCTTTGAGGAAACATCCAGCTACCTGGTTGAAGGAGCGGCGGCCTCCAGGGCAGACTCTGCACTTGCCATCCACTTTGGAACAGAATGACTTTCCAGACACTCCTACTGAGAATCGATGCTCTATCCAGGCCATCCCCCAGTGCCTTTTCTGCCTTAGTTATCTGTCCTTGTAAATTAAGAAATTGGTATTCCTAATGTATTATTAAGTGTCTGATGACTTTGGTGATTATAAAAACAAAATTCCCAAAAACCTCTTGATCATGTCCATGGGTGAACTGATATAAAACGTCATGTACTTCTCCCATGCAGTTTCTGAAACTGCACACTGAAGACACCACGAAGGGACACATGGGTCACTTTGTTCAGCCACTGACTACCCTTTTAAGAAGGGGGTAGAGTAGTCGAGAACACTGGCCTCTGGAGGAGGACTGCCTGCTCTGAACAAATCCCTGCTCTATCACTTTCTAACTAAGATTTCTTAACCATTCTGAGCTCAGTTTCTCCATCCTATAGAACAGAGATGAAGAAAGGATGTACCTCGAAGAGTTGTTGTAAGGATTAAGAGATCATGCACATGAAGCGCTTGGCACAATGCCTGGCACCTAGAAAGCACCTGACAAATGCGGTTCTTTTTTGTTACTAACCCTATCACTATTTTTATTAACGGTAGCAATAATGATAAACCATTTTACTGGATTCACTGACTCCAGTAATGTTCCCACAGTTGATCATCACTCATAGCAGTTTTCCTCTTTATCTGAAACTCTGAAGAGCATTTCCCCTTCTGAGGGCACAATGTTAATTCCAACTGAAGACCCCAAACAACTTTCTTCACAAGCTCTTCAATGAGCGTGCAGAGCTGCCCCTCCTTTAACAGCTCCCAACTTGATCACACAAGCACACCTGCTCCACCTTATTCCCAGCTTCCAACCAGACTCATTAATCATTGACAACTGCCTCAAACTTTCCTACCCTTCTTCCTACAGTGTTCTCTTTCTCCTCCATTATTATAAGATCTCTCCAACATTATGGCAAGTGTACCTGCTACCAACTCCTGTGTAAAGATTTTAATATTCCTTAATACATAGCAGATAAACAGACAAAAAGCCATCAAGGAAATGCAAATTAAAAACACAATGAGATGTCACCACTACCTCTAGAATGGTCATAAAAAAAAAAAAAGAACAGATAATAAATGTTGGCAAAGATGTAGAGAAATTAGAATTCTTTTACTCTGCTGGTGGGAACATAAAATGGTATAGTCCCTTTGAAAATCAGTCTAGAAAGTCCTCAAAAGTTAAATATGGAGTTACCACATAACCCAGCCATCCCACTCCAAGGTAAACATGCAAGAGAACTGACAACATGTCCACACAAAAACAAGTACATGAATATTCACAGCAGCATATTCCTAACAGTCAGAAAGTGTTAGCAGCCAAATATCCATCAACAGATGAATGGATACACAAAATGTGGTACAACCATACAATACAATATCATTTGGCAATAAAAAGGAATGAAGTACTGACTCATGCTACAACATGCATGAACCCTGAAAACATTACACTAAGTGAGAGAAGCCAGGCACAAAAATCACATAGTGCATGATTCCATTTATACAAAACATTCAGAATAGGCAAATTTAGAAAGACAGAAAGGAAATTAATGGTTGCCAGAGGCTGGAGAGGTTGGGAGGAAATTCGAAGTGACTATTAATGGATACAAAATTTCTTTTTGGGGTGCTGAAAATGTTCATCAAATTGACTGTGGTAATAAATATACTAAAATGTACACATTAAATAGGTGAGTTCTATGGCATGTAAATTTTATCTTCATAAGGTTGTTGTGCAATAAGTAAAAGATAAATGTTGGCCAAATGACAAATGACCTGGACAGACATGGAGTCCTCAGGTCAGAAGGAAGCATGATAATGAGACAGCTGACTCTTGAAAATGGGTTGAAGTGTTCCCTCAAAACCACAGATTGCAAATCTATATTTAAAAGCCAAACATCTGCCCTGGCTGGTTTGGCTCAGCAGTTAGAGCGTCGGCCTGCAGTCCAGAGAGACCTGGGTTCAGTTCCCGCTAAGGGCACGTACCTTGGTTGCAGTTTGTCCCCAGCCCTGGTTGGGTAGTGCGGGTGGCAACCACTCGATGTGTCCCTTTCACATCAATGTTTTTTTCTCTCTCTTTCTCCCTCCCACTTTATCTGAACAAAATATGGAAAAGTGTCCTTGGGTGAGGATAAAAAAATAAATAAATAAGAAATAAAAGCCAAACATCTGTTAGCTTTTCGTGTGGCTCCGAAACATTTTCATGACCCTAGTTATAGACAGACCATATAAAATAGTATCTTACAAATGTACATTTATTTAATGTATTATTTTTGGAGTCTGGGTAACTCCCATATCAGATCTTGTCCTATGTAAGCTACAAGTTAGTCATAACTATCAAATATAATTCATTTATTTATTTGATAAACATTTATCATATGCCTACTATGTGCCAGGCAGTGTCCTAGGTGTCAGGGATGTAAAGATGGCTGAGACGCAAGCCCTCCTCTCAAGGAGCTCACTCACAGTGAGCTGAGAACTTATAATGCCAAGTTAGAAGAACATGTATGTGGCAGCAAATGAAATAAGCATTTAATAAGTGTGTTTCAATGCAGATGATGATACAAATACAGTGAGCATTAACCTTTAGTGATCAGTCCTCCTCAGGAGTGGCCTACCTATTGACATGCTCCTCCCAGTCCTCTGGTGGGGGAGGGGCATCTGCATCAGTCCTGGCAAAGATGACATGCCGTTCACACTCGTTCATCACGCTGCGTGCCTTCTGATTGTCGTAGAGGGGCATGGGGGTTGATGTAACTGTCTCCACATCTATAGGGACGTCTGATTCACTGTAAACAGGTGAGAAGACAGGACCAGGCCACATGTACTTTACACAACACAGGTGTTTAACAATCATCTGATTGCCAAAAATGTCTCTTTAATGTAATTAGCTTTAGAGTATGCACAAACACATTATACGCACAAGAAAATTATGGTCCAAAGTAATCTTTCCTACACTTGTGAAGATCTCTGCCCTCTGACACACTCTTATGTGCTAGGGGTCAGAAAGTCATTTCTAAATGACTGTATGCAGCCCTGGCCGGTTTGGCTCAGCGGTTAGAGTGTCAGCCTGCGGTCCAGAGAGACCCGGGTTCGGTTTCCGCTAAGGGCATGTACCTTGGTTGCAGTTTGTCCCCGGCCCTGGTTGGGTCGTGCGGGTGGCAGCCACTCGATGTGTCCCTTTCACATCAATGTTTCTTTCTCTCTCTCTCCCTCCCCACTCTATCTGAATGAAAAATGTCCTCGGGTGAGGATAAAAAAAATAAATAATAATGACTGTATGCAAAAAAATCACAAACAACTATTTAAATATATATATATTCCATAAGCATATAGTTGGTTGCCATATGTGCTTTCCAATACCATAGTTATAGGCCACATGAAACTATTTAAATTAAGAAAAAGTACACAGAATTTATAATTCAGTTTCTTAGTCACACTAGCCATGACGTTTCAAGTGCACGGCAGACTATATGACTGGTGGCTACCGTATTAGATGCACAGTATAAGAGCACTTCTATCATTGCAGGAAGTTCTGTTGGACAGTACTGATCCTGAATTTTAACTATTCACACAAACCTTCCCTTTCACTAGCAAGTCAACTGTTGGTTAATGATATGTTGCAAAAGCCTATGATTGTCTAAGACAGACAATGTAGACACCTTAGCTATTTAACTCACTGTGAAAAGGGCCTAGAACAAAAAAAAAATAGAAATGGACATCTAAAGAATCTTTCAGCCCTGACCGGTTTGACTCAGCGGTTACAGCGTCGGCCCATGGTCCAATGAGTCATGGGTTCAATTCCAGTCAAGGGCATGTACCTTGGTTGTGGTTCGTCCCTGGTTCCTGGCCCTGGTCGGGTCATGTAGGAGGCAGCCAGTCAATGTGGCTCTATCACATCGATGTTTCCCTCTCTCTCTCTCTCTCCCCCCCTCCCTTCCACTCTATCTAATGATAAATGGAAAAATATCCTTGGGTGAGGAATAAAAAAAAAAAGAATCTGTCATATTTTAAAGTGTTGTTAATGAAATCCTAGTACCTTCACTGTACCATCACCCCAAATACTAAGCCAATCAAACTGGTCTACTGGTTGTCTACCAAACATCACTTTAACTTTCTGACCTTGGTGATATTATTGCAAATAATTCATTCTGAAATGGAGTGAAATCATGTGCAGCCAGATTGGGTGGTGGGTCAAAGAGCTGATACCTTCTTTGGACCAGACAGTGGATGAGGCACTTAGACCTATGTGCCTAAAGGAGAACTCTTGATTTCATCATTCCAACATAGTCTCCCCAAGTCTTTCCCAACTCATGGCACCACCCAGTTGCTCAAGCCAGAAATCTAAGAGTCATCCTAATTTTTCCTTGTCCCTTAACCCTGGCCTGTTTCTAATTCTCCACAGCAGGTCCTGTTGACTCTACCTACAAAATAAATCTCAAAGTCATTCATTTTTCTCCATCTGTACTATTGCCGCCCCTATCCAAGTTATCATGACCCCACTACTGCAATGGCCTCCTAGGCAGCTCTTCTCTATCCCACTCCTGCACTATAATCTATTCAACACATTTTTTTTAAAAATCCTCATCTGAGGATATTTTTCTATTGATTTTTAAATGGGGGGGGGGGCATCGATGTGAGAGAGACATACCCTGACCAGGACTGGAGATCACGTCCGCAACTGAGGTATGTGCCCTTGACTGGGAATTGAACCTGAGACTCTTTGGTCTGCAAACTGATGCTCTAACTGCTCAGTTAAACCAGCCAGGGCTCAAATGATCTTTTAAAAATATAAATCCAACTTCTCCCTTAGCTCCCACTTACATCCCTAATGCAACCATAATACAGACACAATGGCCTAAAATGAGTTTGTAGAACATGCCAAACTCCCATTTTTAAGACCTATATATATAGACAATTTATAAGAGGAAATAATTGTCTAAGGACTGAAATAGCCAAGTCCACAGAATCTCACTTTAAAAAAAACAAAAACAAGATACAAACACAGGAGTTTCAATGTTAGCAAGAAGACATGACATAACTAGAAAAAAGAGAAAAAGATATCCAAGTCCACTTAAAGGAGCTCATCAGTTATGCCCTAGGCCAGAGGCATCAGGACTATGCTGAATAATTCCCTAAAGTCAGAGATCCTATGCCCTGTACAACAACAACAACAACAAAAAGCCAATAAAATGCTGCCCTCCTTAGGAAATGAAATAAAAACCACTATTCTGTATGTGTTTAAAACACACCTATCGTAATAACTCTAGTTCATTAAGGCTCAATGGGGGATCTAAAGAAGCAAAACATAAGATCTCGACTCCCCAACAAACCTAAAACCTGTGCTAGAGGAAAGAGTAAACATTAGGTCAGATTAAAACAAACAAAACAAAGCCCTGGCCAGGTAGCTCAGTTGGTTAGAGCATTGTCTCCAGTCAGCACACATACAAGAATCAACCAATGAATACATAAATAAGTGAAACAATAAATTGATGTTTCTCTCTCTCCCTTCCTCTCTCTAAAATAAATAAAGAATTAAAAAACAAAAAACAGCCCTGGCCGGTTTGGCTCAGTGGTTAGAGCGTCCGCCTGCGGTCCGGAGAGGCCCGGGTTCGGTTCCCACTAAGGGCATGTACCTCGGTTGCAGTTTGTCCCCGGCCCTGGTTGGTCGTGCGGGTGGCAGCCACTCGATGTGTCCCTTTCAAATCAATGTTTCCCTCTCTCTCTCTTCCTCTCTCTCCCTCCCACTCTGTCTGTACAAAAAGTGGAAAAATGTCCTCGGATGAGGATTAAAAAACAAAAAACAAAAAACAAAAAAAAAACCTCCTCCCAAAACAGTTTATAAAATTACTAAGGGCATAATTTGGTCATTAAAATATATTGACAAATCTTGATTAGAACACCTTAAAGCTCAAAAGAATTGCTAAACTGGTTTATTTAAGCCAAATGTAATTGTATCCCATTACATACTAAATTTATGAAAAAAATTCCTTACCCTATAATGTAGGTCGGCTGAAAATACAATGACCTAAAAAGGGTTTAGATCACCCATGGGTGATAGTTCTGAAACAAGCTAAGGCCGAAAGCAAGGTCTTGGGAATACACTCCTAAATTCCGCAGGTGAAGCCAGGAAAAGGTTCTTGTTGCCAGTGTTTGGACAAGCCAGAATGATGGACTAAAGGAATGAGTCTAATCCTGTGTGGCAGTTTTTAAGTCAACTACTCTTCAGTCTTTTTCTTTACCAGTTAAATATCCTCTTCCATTTCCTCTTTCCATACAAGTCCTATTACCTAAATGGAATAGGCTGTTTGCTTTCTTTTGAACATCTTGCTTTCCTAACTCATCAGATGTCTTGAATGTTGATGTCCATATAGGCCTGATATTCTCACACTGCTTACCAGAGATGCCTGATTTAAAAGTCCAAGCCCCCACAACCCCCCACAGTAAAGTCCTCTTAAATCCCATCTGACCATCGCCCAGTTACGGGACCAAAACCCTCAGGAGAGGAGCCCAACTCACATGGTACTTTCATGCTGCCTCCGGGGAGTAACAAAGAGCATGCGGGTTGGCCGAGCACTACTGGCATCTGGGTGGGCACTCCATGGCTTGGCATAGCTATGATCCAGGAAAACCAGATCCAGCTCCCGCTCGTGCACTGAAAGCTGGAACAGCAGAGAGGTGCCCATCCGGCGGGCTGAAGTCTGGAAGTCCCTCTCCACACCCCGGTGGGCCATGTCAGTAAAGGGGCAGCCAGTCAGAGAACAGGTGTCTGCATGCTAGTCACCTGCAGTGGAAAGTTTAAGTCAATTCAAATATTCTAAATTTCTTCCAACCTGGAACTCCTCACGTTTCTTAGTTTTGTGACCTTCTATCATTCATAATTGAGAATTCATTCCACTGCACACCCTCGCCCTCCATACGGAGGGCTCCTGAGCTCCCACACCGCCGTCCTGAAAGGCTCTGGCATCCTGAGTCCCTCCCCACGCAACCTCTACCAGTTCATTCACTGGAAAGCTGTCCGCGGGGGCAAAGGCTCCCTCCCACAGCTGCTAACTCGCTTGGCCTCGATTTCCTTCCTACGTGGGCTGGAAGGGCTTTGGCGAACAACACGAATCACAAGTTTTAATTCTTCCCAAGCTAAGTACGGGTCTCGACTGCGTCCCACCATTCCCTAAAGCGTCACAGGCACCCCAGTACGAGCGGGCCAACGTGGGCCTCAAGGAGGCCTCTTAAGGCTCTTGTTTTTGTTAAAAGTTTTGCAACGACTTCGTAATTCTCTGGAGTTTTTAAACATACAAAAGAGGGCTCCGTCGCGAAGCCGGTAACAAAATGCCACCCCAGGAGGAACTCTTCCCTTCCCAGGGTGGGCGGTCCCAGCCGATCACCCCGGGCCCCGGCCCCCCCGGGGATCTCGCCACTGAACCTCCAAACGGCCCCATCCTGTAGGCGGGGCTTCTCGTTCGCACTTCACAGATGAAGGCGCCGGTTCGGAGGGGATGAAGCGACTTGGCCAAGGTCACCGAGAGTTCGCGACCAAGAGGCGCCGCCTCGCACCGGCCTCCCGTCGGCCCTGCGCCTGCGGTCCCCGGCCCAACGTGCCCGGCCGCCCCAGCCCAGGCTCCAGCCCCCGGCCCCCGAATGCCTGCAGCCCCGAGCCGCCCACCTCCCCCCCCCAGCCCCCGCCTGCCCCGCCCGGAGCAGCGACACCCAGGGCCCGCCACCCCAGCGGGCCTAGCCTCCCTCACCCGCAATCTACGGGCTGCGCGCTCGACCGGGGCTGGCTCCCAGGGCGCGTGCGCGTTACCGCCCCCGCGCCCGGCTCGCCGGGCTCCAGGCAAAACGCGGAAGTGGATAACAGCCTGAGAAGGAAGGGGTGGGAAGCGGGAAAACCCGGACTGGATGAATCTGGTCCACGAAAGCGGGAAGCGGGAAGGGAACGCGTGGGTCTCGAGGCAGCCCAGCGCCCAGTCCGTCGTCCTGCATGTGCAGCAGAGCGCGAGGACCAAGGAGGAGGCTGACTCCGGCAGCCCCAGGCCTGCTGCCCTCACCGGCTTTCCCTTGGCCCTGCACCTCTGCCACAGCAGGCCGGCCTGATGGGCTCGGCAGGAGTTTTACTCTTAAGAAACAACCACAGCCCTGGCCGTGGCTCAGCGGTTAGAGCGTCAGCCGTGGACCAGAGAGTCCGGGTTTGGTTCCCACTAATGGCGGTGCCTTGGTTGCAGTTTGCCCCCGGCCCCGGTTGGGGTTGTGCGGGTGGCAAACAGTAGATGTGTCTCTCTCACATCGATGTTTCTCCCTCTCTTCCTCCCTGTCTCCCTCTTGCTCTATCTGAAGATTAATGCAAAAATGTCCTCAGGTGAGGATAAAAAAATAAAATAAAAGAATTATTTCTTTAAAAAAAAGAAAAAAACAACCACAGCAAAGACAAATTCTAAGATAAAAAGTTGCTATAAACCTAAAATTGCTCTAAAAACATCTATTAAAATAAATAAATAAAAGAAACATTTATCCAGAATGCTGTTGAAACAGTATAATAACAGTGCCTGGCAAGAACATAAATATATTTAGATTTTAGTGGTAAATACCGTGAAGGATCCTAGAATGTTCCAGAAGAAGAAAGATTTCCTGATAAGGGGATTGGGGGGGGTCATCTGAGACTGGGCTCTGAAGGAACAGGCCATTGCAAGAGGGACTGGAAAGGTAGGTAAGGGCTCGTGCAGAGATACCAAATGGGCCAAGTACAACCCAACACCATTTCCTTTGGCCTTTACATTACAATCTTTTTTTTTCTTTATTGATTTTTAGAGAGAGGAAGGGAGAGGGAGAGATAGAAACATTGATGAGAGAGAACATCGATTGGCCTGCCTCCTGCATGTCCCCCCACTGGGAATTTGGCCGACAACCTGGGCATATGCCCTGACTGGGAATTGAACTGGCCATCTCTTGGTGCATGGGTCGATACTCAACCACTGAGCCACACCGGCTGGGCCACATTTCTATCTTAACTTTATCTAATTGCAAACATTTTTAATTTGGGAGATTTCATGTAAAAGTCCAGATTTCTGGATTCTCTTGAAAAATTGGAGTCTGTGGAAGCACTGGACTCACCTGGTGTGGCAGGCATGGGGTCTGCATATACCCTCCTTCAATGGCTTCAGTGGCCCCTGGGGGGTTGATTCATTACCCACTCTCCTATACACACACTCACACACATCCCTGGGCTAGAGTCAAATGCAAATATCCCTGGGATGAAAAATACAGGCAGGGGTCAAGTCCAGATTTGTAATGCTGGTGGAAATAGGGTGAAGAGACTAGCCCAAAGGAAGAGACATAGTGTTCCAGACAGCCTATGCAATTTCACAGGGAGTCCTGAGTGTCTAGGGGAAAGGTGTGTGTGTGTGGGGGGGGGGGGAATGGTTAGGCAGTGGAGAGAAAAGAGGCAAATTGTCACTTTACAATTCTGAACTATTTCCAACAAGACAGAAAACCTTTTCTATAGTGGGATGTTAAAACCATAGTGCTTGTCTTTACCTATGCCCATGGCAGACATAATTAATTAATAACAGTCCACTCTCCCTCTAAACCCAGATGCAACTTCACAATCATTTTCTCCATCCAAGACATCCAATGGGCCCTGGCCAGTTTTGCTCAGTGGTTAGAGCGTCGGCCTGCGGTCCAGAGAGACCTGGGTTCGGTTCCCGCTAAGGGCACGTACCTCGGTTGCAGTTTGTCCCCGGCCCTGGTTGGTCGTGCGGGTGGCAGCCACTCGGTGTGTCCCTTTCACATCGATGTTTCTCTCTCTCTCTCTCTCTCTCTCTCTCTCTCTCTCTCTCTCTCTCCCGCTCTATCTGAACAAAAAAATGGGAAAATGTCCTCGGGTGAGGATAAAAAAAAAGGTGAGGACAGGGTAGCTAGGAAGCAGTGGTCAGTGAGTGGAGGAGTGCAGAAAGACCAAGTTGGAGAGACAGACTTAGGCTCTAGTGTGCAGGGCCCCAGATGGTCCAGGAAGAATTTTGGTACTGGCCCTGGCTCAGTTGGTTAGAGTGTCGTCCCACTACATTAAGGTTGTAGGTTCAATCCCCTTGATTTAAAAATTAATGGAGTCCGGCTCATGTGGCTCAGGGGTTGAGTCAACCCATGCAGCAAGAGGTCACCGGTTCGATTCCCGGTCAGGGCACATGCCCAGGTTGTGGGCCTAATCCCCAGTTGGGGGGCGTGCAGGAGGCCACCGATCTATGTTCTTTCTCATCAATGTTTCTATCTCTCTCTCCCTCTACTTCCTCTCTCTCTAAAATCAAGAAAGGGAAAAAAAATTTTTTTAAATAAATAAAATAAAAATCAGTGGAAAAGCCTGGCCGGTCTGGTTCAGTGGATTGAATGTCCTCCCATGGACAGAGAGGTCCTGGTTTGATTCCTGGTCAGGGCACATGCCTGGGTTGCAGGCTTGATCCCCAGTGGGGAGCGTGCAGAAGGCAGCCAATCAGTGTTTCTCTCCCATATCAATGTTTCTCTCTCTCTCCCTTCCTCTCTTTCTAAAAAATCAATAAAAACATTTAAAAATTTAAAATAATAAAAAATAAATAAAAATCAATGGAAAAATATCCTTTGGTGAGGATTAACAAGAACTACAAAAACAAAAACACAGCCCATACATTAAAAAAAAAAATCCTCATACATTGCTGGTTGGATTGTAAAAAGAGTCTGGCAGTGCCTCAAAACAGAGTTACTATATGACCCAGCATATTCCACTCCTAGATATGTGCTCAAGACAACTGAAAACATATGTCTAAGTATACAAATATTCAGGACAGCATTATTAATAATAACCAAAAAGTGTTAACTATCTGAATGTCCATCAGTGGATGAATAGATAAACAAAATGTGGTATATTTATACAGTGGATATATTAAGCCATAAAAAATAATGAAATGCTGGTACCTGTTTACAACATGGATGAACATTGAAAACATTATGCTAAGTGAAGGAAACCAGTCACAAAGACCATATTGTAGCCCTGGCTGGGTAGCTCAGCTGGTTAGAGCACCATCCTGATATACCAAGATTGCAGGTTTGATCTCTGATCAGGACACATACAAGAAGCAACCAATGCCCTAGCCGGTTTGGCTCAGTGGTTGGAGCATCGACCTGCAGACCAGAGAGTCCCGGGTTCGGTTCCCGCGAGGGGCACATACTGGAAGGAAGGAAGGAAGGAAGGAAGGAAGGAAGGAAGGAAGGAAAGAAGCAACCAATGAATGCATAGATAAGTGGGATAACAAATCGATGTTTCTCTCTCTCTTTCTCTGTCTCTTCCCCTTCCTTTCTCTCTCTTTCTTGAACCAATTTTAAAAATGTTTCTTAAAGAAGAAAATAAATAAAAAAATTTTTAAATGACTATTGTGTGATTCCATATATATGAAATGTCCAGAATCAACACATCTATAGAGACAAAAAGTGGATTCATAGTTTTCAGGGGCTATGGGAAGGGAGAAATGAGGAGTGACTGCTGATGGATACAAGATTTCTTTCGGGGTGATGAAATGTTCTGGAATTAAATAGTGTTGATTATTTTAAACCTTGTAAATATACTAAAAACCTGAATTATGTAGTTTAAAAAGCAGACTTTATGGTATGTGAATTATACCTCAGTAAAGCTGCTATAAAAAAAAAAAAAAAAAAGCTTTATTATTTTGAGCCACTGAGACTTCAGGTCAGTCCTGACTGATACACCCAGCCAGATTATCAGTCTAGTGCAAGGCCAAAATAAAGACATGTACAGATCTGCAAAGGCTCAAATAGTTTCATCAACTAATATGCATTTTTAAACATACATTAATTTCCATGCTAATCAATGGATAAGATGTAACTAATATAATGTTCAAGTAGGAAAAACCATCATGTGGATGACTAAAGCAAATGATCCAACTCCTTCCTCACGTCAAGAGGCTTTGAGAGCAATCAAGATGCCACAGCAAAATTGCAATGGCATTGAGATTTTTCTTTAACTTTACAAACCCAGAGCTTATAAATTTAAAAACTAATTTATTTGTTAAAGAGAGACTCATATCTGAATTTAGGTTTCCTTCAAAAGAAAGAAGCCCTAAATGTTCGCTTACACCTTAGGCAGGACTTCTAAAACATCACTGAAATCATCCTTTACTCTCCTATTCCTGTTCCCAGATCGCCTTGTTTCTCTTATTTTCTGATCTAAATTGTATGACTTTGGCAACGGTTCACTCCAAATACCTTGTTTGTATAAAGAGAAAGTATCATCCTTATATCTGATCT